CGCTTCTCTGGGCCCGGAGGCGGCGGGGCTGGGCGGGAGCCTGGGCTGGAGGCGGCGGCGGCTGCTGGGGTGACCCTGCTGGGCCCCTTGGCGGAGGGCCCCGATCGGAAGGCACGTGGTGGTGGTGGTGGGGTTGGTTCTGCTCTCCCCCCCCCACCCGGTGGGGCCCTCGAACAAGTGGCCCGTCGGCCGTTTAAACAGAGGGGGAGGGGATCCGGGGTCGGCGCTGGCGCTGGGTCCCCCCCTGGCCTCTTTGCCCGAAGAAGCATCCTTTCTGCTGCACCTGGTCAGGGGGACCTCGGGGCCTGTTCCCTCCAGGGGGCTGCTTGTCCGACTCCCGTGGATGGATAGTCACAGCTGGATTTTAATGACAAAACAACACCCCTTGCTTGCTTGCTTGCCTCCCTCCCACCCACCTCTCTGCCCCGGTGGAAGGTTATATTAACTTGTTTTAGGAAATCCTCCGAGGAAAGGTTTTAGAAAACCAGTGTGGTAACCATTTATTTATTTTACTTACTTCATTTGTACTGTACCTGTATCCCCAGTGGGGACCCAGAATGGCTGACATTAGTCTCATTGTCTCCATTTTACCTTCACAACAACCCAGGGAGGTAGGTTAGGCTGACAGTGTGTGATTGGCCCAAGGTCACTCAGCAAGATTTTATGGCAGAAATGGGATTCGAACCCGGGTCTTAGGTCCTAGTGTAATCACAGCACCAGGAAACGTGCTGTCGTCTTCTGTCTTTGAGACAGAATTGTCTGTTCTTCAAGAATATAGCCTACTTTGCAGTCTGAATGTGTCTGCTCATTATTGATATGCCACGATAAATGGGTTGTTCTTTAAGGTTACTAAAGCAGCTCTCTTATTTTCTGCTGCCTCTCTTTGTCCATGCATCTGATGAAGAGAGCTGTGTTTCTCGAAAGCTTATGCTACAATAAAGTCTGTTAGTCTTAAAGGTTCTACTGGGCTTTTTACTACCTGTGTGGTGTCACCCCTCCTCCACCCCCACCCCAACTGATGTGATTAAACAAAGTATTTTTTAAAAAAAACCTAGGACTATCAGCCTGGTCCACACATGATAAACTTAAAATACTGTCCTCTGTAGCTCACTCATCTTCATCTTCTTGTTTGTTCATAATCTGGAGAAAAACCCAAACTTTCATGTTTTGTTGGGTCCCAAATGATTTCTCAATTTAGAATGAATGAGTCCAAAGGAAGAGAATATTCTTTCCACGCCAGCAGAAGCAGCTACTGCTGTTAAAAGTGAAATCATTACTTCAGCAGTCTCTAAATCCAAGTGCTTAGTGATTCCCACCAGTTCACTGGTGTGACTTCCTTTGGAACATCAGCAACAAACATCTGCTTCTTGAGTGGTTCCTGCCCCCTTAGCTCTGAAGTTTGTTAAGAGTTTGTTATAGTTGGCATTACAGATGGATGCCATAGCTTACTCCTTTTCCTCAGCAGTTACCGGATATTGACGATATTTGTGAGAAAGTGAGGTGGAGACAGTGCTTGTCCCATTCCCATTTTTTAATGCTTGTAATTTAGTTCTGTCAGTGTGTAGTTCTGTTTTAAAGGGCTCACTCAGTCCCTTCCAGATTTCAGCAGCATCAGCCACAAAACAGCTATTTTCCTGTATTTTGTTTAAAGCTTCAGAAATGGGTTTCAGGATGCTATTTATTTATTTAATTAGGCTTCTATCCCGCCCTCCCACGTGGGCTCAGGGCGGCTAGCAAGAGGCAAGTTGCCACACATAACAACACTAGAACCAGACAGAACAATCAGATTACATTATACATTTAAAATCGGTGCTCGTAACAATATGTCATCCAAGACGGGGCTCCAATACATATGCTCAACATTTCTCTTAAGCCCAGTGTTGAGGATTTTGGCTGCAACAGTGCCTGCTGTCTTCGCTCCATTTTATTCCCCAGCTGTCCTCAGAACAGGCCAGCTCAAAACAGGCCAGTACGGAGTTCCATGTAGCATCTTGTGGGAGTCTTTTCAGAGCTGCTGCAGCAAAATGGTTGTTACAGAAGTATTTAGCAATTTCAACAACATTGGTGTTTATTTCTGGAACACTGAAGTCTTTGGCTAAGAGGTGCAGCAAATGAGCACTGTCACCGAATGTTGTTAGCTTTGTATTCCTTTCCTGCTCTTCTAAATTTCTTCTCATCTTGGATACATTTGTAGCATTGTCTGTGACCAAACTGCATACTAGACATTTGAAGTTTTGTTCACATGTTATTATAGCTTTTGCTGCCACTTCTTGTGAGTATTCTTCTGTGTTAACAATTTTACCCTCTAGAGCTGTTGCACATCACTCCATTTCTCTGCCGTATACTTCATCCAACAGTTTCCCTGCACATATCCACCCTGTCAGAAAGGCATATGCATTCCAACTTTGGGGTCTTCATTCGTGGTCTTTTTGCATATCAACATGGTTTTTTTGGTACACAGTTAATCACTTCAAAATTGACATCAAATATATTTTTAAAATTTCAAGAATCCTGCAAGCATAACAAACAGCTCACACAAACTACCTCCAAAACCAAATAGTGAAAATAACAGAATTTCTGTGGATCATAACCAGCTGATGTTCTTTAGAGGCTTCCAGTGGAATCCTATGAACATTTTCCTCCATTGCATAGACTTGAGTGGTAGAATGAAAAGCCATGGTGTGTGTGTGTGTGTGTGTGTGTGTGTTTATATTGTAATGTCCACTACAATGATTAGTGTTGGTCTTACCTGCTTTTACTGTGTTGCCTTTACAAGTCTGCTTTTTGCCTTGCCTTAGTTTGTTGTTTGCATTATTCCTCTGTTCTATAATCCTGGTCCTATTCCATTGTTCATTTGGTTGTCTTATGCTGCCTGATTGCCCTGTTTATATCCTGTAACCCACCATGAGTTTCAGCGAGAAAGGTAGACTATAAAGTAATTAAATAAAAATAAATAAATTCCGAGTAGACTGGCTTAGGGTTGCTCCCTTATTTGCAATACACACCATCTGGTAAATAAATCTTATCATCGCTTCAGATAGCTGCTCCACAAGGTTACCAAAATACCATATGGCAACACTGAAGAGGGAAAAAAGTATTCCCCAGAAAATCTTTAATAGCAAATTTTGACTGGACTGGGTAATAAAAACAGCATTCTTGAGAAAGGTGTAGCTTGTTCAGTGTTCCAGTGGCTTTTTTTGTGGTCTATAATTGTATTGTAATGTGTTTAAAAAATGTAAACTGCTTTGAGAAGTGGTACATAAATGTGAGTAATAAATATACTAAAGAGAACAGTATATAGGTGGGCTATAAGGACATTTATGTAGTCCTTGAATATGTAGTTGTAATGATTTCATGTTTAACTGTGTGTGTGTGTGTCTTTAAAAGTTTGGATGCATGGCTGTATGAAAGTCTAGAGTAGTGGAAACAAGCAAGTGGTGTGATTGGTGAGTGACAGAGAGGGGGAGGGGTTTTGGAAATGATTCTGTGTGGATGAGCAGATATGTCAGTCAAGAGTTACAGTTAAGACAGTGAGATGACAGTTGTGAAGTCAGTTAAGCTATGTATGAGTGGAAGGAGACTCATCCCTGTGTGGGATAATTTGGTTCTGTGTAGTAAAAGAGTTAAGCAGTTTGTTCGTTTTAAGGTCTGAGAGAGAGAAGTCTTGTGTGTGTGTTATGAAAAGTTGAAGCATAAAGAAACAGTAACCGTATATGGCCTAAGGAAAATATTGTTACAAAGTGACATGCCCAGATCCCTGTCAGTAAGAGGGAAAAGTGTGTGAAATATCAAATAAATCTAATTTTATTTAAGACAAGGGGCGGACCCGCGATACTCGCGGGGGGGGGAGGCAGAGGAGGAAGCAGCAGGAGGAGGTAAGTACCCCCCATCTTCCCCCCATTGCCTTCCCCCCAGGCTCCTCGCTGCTCTCTTCCCCCCCCCATCCCGGCACCGAAGCGAGGGCCGAGCAGCTTTCCTCTCGGCCCTCTCTACTCTTCCCCCCCCATTCCATCACCTAAGTGAGGGCCGCTCAGCCCTCGCTGCTCTCTCCCCCACCCCCATCCCGGCCTGCTCTCTTCCCCCCCCTCCGCGGCGGCGGTGGGAGGCCGGCTGCAGAGCGTTCCCTGCGCATGTGCAGGGGACGCTCTGTCAGTTTCAGGGGGATTTAAACATCCCCCCGATATTTTTTACAGGGTTTCTGATTTTTGTGCACACCTGGGGACCGCCCCACGTGTGCACAAAACTCCCTCCCCTCCAGTTGCCCCCGATGTGCGGAAATAAGTATCCGCACACCAGGGGGTGACTTGGCTATTAGATATATAGATACCAGTTCCGAAAGAAATTCTTCCCAGGAAACACACAGACCCTCGTGAACGCCTAAAACCCTCGACATACCTACCCAGAAATAGAGAAAGCATAAAGGTTTGGAAATCCTTTTAAAATTTCCTGGTGGCAGCTGGATATATAGAGTAAAAACAAAACAGAAAGAACATTTTAAAGTAAACCCAGACCTCCCCAGTTAAGGGGTTGTCACAGTAGTCCTAAGTGGTGTTTCACCCTTCTTAGCCTGTTGACTCCAGTGGACTTGGAAGGGTATAACTCTGTGATTCCACTGTCACTGCTCAGCATCCTTACAGTCCACCAGTAAGAGAGCCTAGTGATATTATCTGCGTGTTAAACGTGGAGCAAGGCCGAGAGGTTTCGTTCAGGCCCGTGCCAGAGAGGAGGCTTGATTTCAGCTGTGTTCTAACCTCCTTTTGCTCTTGGAGCTCCCAGGCAGATGCTGTTGTGGAGCCACAATGGCGTCTTGTGGCCTGTCCTCGGGGCCAGCCTTTGGCTGCCGGGCTTCTACATTGCAGCAGGATGGGACTTGGTGCCCGAAGAGGCCGGAAGTACCCTTAGGCTTGCCTGCGACCACCTCTGGCCCAGCTGCTTGGTGCTCTGGCCAGGGTACCCGTTCAGCAGTGAAGACCCTCGCAACGGGGAGAGTGCTCTGTTTGGATTTATTTTGCTTATACTTTTGATTTCAGAAATAAAAGGAAGATAATGAGAATTTTTACGCTACCTCCAACTGTAGAGATACCATCTGAGCCAAACTTTTATGACAGTGTGAAAAAAATTCGTCTCCGACAACAATTAGAGATGTACTCTATTGGTAAGTATGGGTTTGTTCCTGAAGAACCAAAATATCTGGCCGAGGTGCATATTTGGCATTAACTCTGACTTAGACTCATCCTAGAGTCTGAATAGCAGTATCTAAAATTACCACAGCATGGATTTATGGCAACGTTTAAGATTTAAGATGGTGGGGGAGGGTCTGAATGTAACCTAGAGCATGCAAGTTCAGCGGTCTTCTTGTACTATGTATTACAAAGCGGTACAGATGGGATGAGGGCTTTGAAGCTGTCATAGTGCAGAACAGGTGATGCCGGTGGATATGCAACAAGGAGCATCCAAGTGTCCCAAAAGTTGCCCTTTGGTTTGATGTGGTGACGCTTCCTGCTGCAGCCCACTGAGCCACTCAAAATGCTCCTGGGGGCCAAGGGGAGCCCTCACAAGCAACGCAGGGGCAAAGTACACATCTGCAATGACAGGGAAGCATTGGCCAAAGATTGCCCACCCCTCCTCTGTCAAAGGCAGTGAATGGCACCTAGATCCAGCCCAGTTCGTCTGGAGTGCAGCGCCTCTGAGACTGGCCCCCCTCTCCACACTCAGCAGACTTCCAGGGCACACAGGGTCTCTGTTCTCTGCTTCCTGTGTTCTCGGGGCAGTTTGTTCTCTTGCTTACCGTGTCCCGGAGATGGGAGTCCAGTCAGGAGTAGAAGCTGCTTTTTGACATGCATCTCGCGAGACAGGAGCCTTCCTATCAGTGATGAACAGAATCTGCCGAAGTGAAATACCAGCCAAAGATTCATTCCAAGCCAGCCACTGAAAATTAAACCAGACTTTAGCAGACACGTTCTGCTGGAATGTTGTGTATGGATTTCTTTAGACCAGTGATGGCGAACCTTTTAGAGACCGAGTGCCCAAACTGTGACCCAAAACTCACTTATTTATCACAAAGTGCCAACACGGCAATTTAACCTGAATACTGAGGTTTTATTTTAGAAAAAAACAACTCATATATTAACTTAGATGATCCAGACAAAGTAAGGAAAGCAATCCCAAATGCTTTTATTTACTTAAAATTATTTGGCAGAGAATTCGACACTTTAATGACAGTCTGGGCCTGGCTGGGGCGATGGCACGTGTGCCCATGGAGAGGGCTCTGAGTGCCACCTCTGGCACCTGTGTCATAGGTTCGCCACCACTGCTTTAGGCTGTAACAACTAGGGGTGTGCAAAAAAAAAAATTGGTAAAATTCGGATTCGGGTTTATTGGACCCAATTTTTTTTGGGAAACCCAAAAAACCCGAATATCTATATCGGTAAAGCATAGATATCCGAAAATTTTCGGAATTCGGGTCCATTATAACCAATGGGGCCATTGAAGTCAATGGCAAAAATCCTCTTGAAACTTTGCTGGGGGCTGGGGGGAGGGGGTTTGGGGTAGAGGCTCCAAACCTGGAGGGTGCTTACTGGAACCTCTCCCCAACATACCCACCAAGTTTCAAGAGGATTGGACCAGGGGGTCCAATTTTATGGGCCCCCAAACAGGTGCCCCCCAGATCAGCTTGCTGCAGTGTTTATTGCCGGTTTGCCGCCGAAATTCGGCGGCAATTTGGCAACATTGTTTCTTATGGACCTTGGGGAGAGGGAGACTAGATATTCACAGTGATGGCTGTTCTGGGTCCCCTCTTCCCCCCTCCCTCCTGAAAACAGGAGCTAGACGCGGGAAAGGGGGAAACGGCGGGAAAACCGGGTTTCCCGGCCGCCCTTTAAAGTTTAAAGAGCAAAAAGCCGTTTTTTGGCAATGCCGAAAAATGCCAAAAAAATCCCGAATTTTTTCAGGATTTTTTTCCCGGCTTTCAGACAAGCGCTCAGATTGCCATTTCGGGATCCCGAAAGCCGAAAAAACCCGAAAAGCAATTTTTTTGGGTTTTTTTCGGTTCGGGATTCCGAAATGCACATCCCTAGTAACAACCTGGGATTTGCAGCAGCCCTGTAGGAGCTACCTTGTGGCCATTGATGGTGCAATTCTAATAAAGTTTTCCGGGGACTGAGCCCCACTAAAAAGACCTCCTTAAGATTGTTGTGTTAGTCATCCAACACAGGCCCCAATGGCTTTGCAAAAGACAAGGGGCACAGTTGCAGATTATATGTGCAGCCATAGTGTCCAGCTTGGTTAATGGGTCCTGATAAGACTTTGCAACTTATTTCTACCTGTCCTGTTAGCGCATTACTTGGGTTTATACCCACTGGCACAATTACTTAAAAATCACTAAATGAGGTGTTTTCATTAATAAAAATGGACATTTAGCTCTTGTAATTGGAGGCAAATTTTGATTCCAAGCATTGTGAAATGAAAATTGTTTCAACAAGCATGAAACCTATCCTTCCTCCTGTTACCTAGCAGACCAAAACAGGCTTGCATTAAATCATTTGTTGCTATTAAAATAGCTCCACACTGCCTTCTGCCAGGTGAGTGACGCTTCTAAATCCATTTTTTCTCTAGCCAGAAAGTATGACCAACAGCAGCAGCCACAGAAGCAGACTGACAGTGTGCAGCTTTTGGTGGAATGAAATCTTGCATCTGGAGTCAAGAAACGGAGCTGGATGGGTGACAGGGCAGCTGGAACGGGATCACTTTCCTTGCAGCTTTAATGGAATGCAGTCCCTCTATAAAAAGCAACATTATTTTTGATGGTTGGCCCTGCATAAATGAGCGCAGAATGAAACCTCAAAAAAGAAAGTCTAATTCATCTTCCTCCTGTTCTTCTGTTTGTATTACAATTTGTAGCCAAATCAGAAATGTGCAGGACCCTTAAGATTTCATTGCAGGCATCAGCGCTTGTTTCAAGTGGCATTTTCTTAATCAGAGGGTTTGTGGTACCTTGCAAGCATCATCAATGTTAATAAATGGTTTGGTGTGGATGGTGAACAGAACCTTCTATCGAGAGGTTTACAATAAACACAACATCTGTTTGGATGTCAGACTCTATGGAAAGATCTGAAGACTTTGGGAAGAGGCAGTTCTTCCCGTCTGACAGAAGCGAATGCTCGTTTTCTGTGCCGGCTCTGTGGGCCTCCGGCAACGTGATTACCCTTGCTTGGTTGTCCCACTTGTACCTTGGGTCAGAGGTGGAGGCATGAATACTCTTTTTAAAATCTTGTTAAACTATAAAAAATAGGCTTTTTTAAAATATCAAAAAATATTTATAGAACAAAGTTTGAGTCCAGTGGCACCTGAATCTAAAAATATTTATAGTTATGATTATTTGTTGGTACAAATTCAGTGGAGTTGGTGTGGTATTTATGGGCTATAGTGCTAGTGATTTAAGGGAAATTTCCTCCTGGATAAAGTGTTTAGAAGTTATAATTCTTTATGGAGATGAGCTCTTTCCCTGGGCATCTAAATGGCCCTTTAAAGGAGGGCTGTTATCAAGAAGGCCATGCAGGGAAATAACAATGGTAAATCTTGAATGTGCATCAAGAGCAGCTTGACAGGCACACCAGGAGTGGACAGAGTTAAGTCAACGTATGACACAACATATAATGGATTTGGTGAAATAAAAAAATAAAAAGAATAATTTATATGTAGGTATTTATAAGTATTTTGGGGAAATGTGGCATTTGTTTGACTTGGATGTATTCAAAAATGTGAATCTGACATGTTGCTTCCCAGGGCATGAGGGGAAGCCTCCAGCCTTAGCTTAAAAGAAGAAGCCACCTGATATGCTTTGGCCTGGCAGTAACCATCAGTTTTGACGCCTAGTGTGCCGCTTCTGTTTATGCCCTGGTTTTCCAGAATTGCTTCCTGTGCTTAAACTGTTGTGGGGAAGTAATATGTTACCTGAACACACTGTTTGTGACCTGCTGGAATAAGAAATTCCACAATACTGTCCACATTTCCCCCCCATGCTGTAAATTAGTCCATATTCTCTTCCTGGTTTTTAATGCTTTTTGTATTGCTTACTTTTTCTCTGTTGTATTAAGTACTATCTTTCTATTTCTTTAATAAACTTTTTTAAAGTGTCTAAGCACAGCTTGGATCCCTGGGTTTTCCAGGCATTTCTGTTAGCCCGTGCAGTGCTTCCCCTGCAGTCGTGATGGTGATGTTGCTGTGGAGTGCTAATCAAGGAGCTGCTGGCCCACTGGAGAGTAGGAACAGAAACAGAGCACCAAGGGATGCAAAATATCTGGACATTTTGAAGTCACAAGGGAAGAAATGGAAATTTGGGAGGAAATTGAAACACTACGCAATTCTTGCCTTCCTATCAACCCTGAACTTCTTTTACTGATTTAACAACATGAAATGTATCATTTTACAACTTGATTAGCATATAACGTTGAACTATTTGGCATATTTATAGAATTTAAAAGTATGTTTTCGTTTTCTGCAAGAAATATGCCCACTATTGAGAGTGTGCTTTAAACTGCTGCACCTTCCTTCCTTCCTTCACATTTATAGCCTGCCCTTCCCAGGAGCGGGCTCAGGGCGGGTAGCAACATGTCACTTATTCAAAAAGATTAACACTGTGTACCTTAATTTTTGCCATCTGAAAGGCGGAACAGCTCCATTTCACAGGCCCTGCAGAACTGTCACGGGTCCCGCAGGGCCCTGACCTCAAGTGGGAGCTTGTTCCACCAGGTGGTGGCCAGGACCAAGAAAGCCCTGGCCCTGGTCGAGGCTAAACGGACGTCCTTTGGGCCAGGGACCACCAGGAGATGCTGCTCAGCAGAGCGCAAGGCTTGCCCTGGGCTCTGAACCTTTGAGTTCGGCACCTATGCTCCCCCCCTCCCCTCCCCCGAGGCACAGGACCTCTGTCTTCGGTGGATTCAGTTTCAGCCAACTCTGCTTTAACCACCCAGACACAGCCACTGAAAGCCCTACCCCGATCTTCCGGGGTGGAGTCTGGGCAGGCGGCTACCTATCGATAGAAAGAGCCCACTGTTGACAACCCAGCCCAAACCTCCATGCCAACTGGGTGAGGGAGGGGGCACATGCCTTGTACCATAATAAATATAACTTTTCCTCCAAAAGACAATAAAGTGTAAAGAAAAGTTCAAACTTGTGCAACAACAACTTTGGGGAAACCATTTTTTCTGTTCTCAATTGAGGTGAAACAAATCTACACCCAGGCTCGTCAGGGGTAAAGAGGCAAGGAGGCGCCGCCATTCTTCTGCCTATTGCCAGTCAGGGGAGGGGAGCCTCATGCCACACAGCCTCGCAAGGCCTGTGGCTGCCATCTGCAGGCAGTCGCCTTTGGCCACAGGGTCTCCCCGTGCCTCCACTGCTGGGGTTGGTCCTCTTGTTAAGTGCTCCGGCAGCCCCCTCCTCCCCACGCAAGTCATGCTGCTGATCCAAGCAAACCAGCAGCCAGTCATGTAGATGACAATGTAGACCTCAACATCAAGTGGTAAGCCTTTCTATAAAGCTGGCTATAAAAATGGCTCATACAGCCTTTGTTTTTGAGGAAACCATGCTGCAGCTGTTCCAGGGAATCCGCCTGATGTTGCTTACAAAATAGAGCACAGTAAAAACAGGTTGGAAGGTGTCCAATATGCTACTGAGGAAGAGCAGAGGGCAAATACAAGTAACCCCAGAAAGAGTGAAGCGGCTGGGCCAAAGCCGAAAGGACGCTCAGTTGTGGATGTGTCTGATGGTGAAAGGAAAGTCCGATGCTGCAAAGAACAATACTGCATAGGAACCTGGAATGTAAGATCTATGAATCAAGGTAAGCTTGACGTGGTCAAAAATGAGATGGCAAGACTGAACATCGATATCTTAGGAATCAGTGAACTAAAGTGGACAGGAATGGGCGAATTTAACTCAGAAGACCATTATATCTACTACTGTGGCCAGGAATCTCGTAGAAAAAATGGTGTGGCCTTTATAGTCAACAAGAGAGTGCAAAAAGTGGACCGGTTCTATGAAGACCTACAACAGCTAGAACACACACCAAAAAATGATGTCCTCATCATCGCCGGGGACTGGAATGCTAAAGTAGGAAGTCAAAAGGTAACCGGAATAACAGACAAGTTTGGCCTCGGAAAGCAAAATGAAGCAGGGCAAAGGTTAACAGAGTTTTGTCGAGAACACACTGGTCATAGCGAACACTCTTTTCCAACAACCTAAGAGGTCACTCTACACATGGACATCACCAGATGGGCAACACCAAAATCAGATTGACTATATAATTTGCAGTCAAAGATGGAGAAGCTCTATCCAGTCAGTAAAAACAAGACCTGGAGCTGACTGTGGTTCAGATCATGAGCTACTCATTGCAAAATTCAGACTTAAACTGAAGAAAATCGGGAAAACCATGAGGCCATTCAGGTTTGACCTAGATCACATCCCTGATGAATATACAGTAGAGGTGAAGAATAGATTCAAGGGTCTGGATTTGATAGATAGAGTGCCTGAAGAACTATGGACAGAGGTTCGTGACATCGTACAGGAGGCAGCAATCACCACCATCCCAAAGAAAAAGAAATGTAAGAAAGCAAAGTGGCTTTCTGATGAGGCTTTACAAATAGCAGAGGAAAGAAGGAAAGCGAAAGGCAAAGGCGAAAAGGAAAGATTTACCCAACTGAACGCAGATTTCCAGAGAACAGCAAGGAGAGATAAGGAGGCCTTCCTGAATGAACAGTGCAAAGTAATAGAAGAAAACAATAGAATGGGAAGGACTAGAGATCTCTTCAAGAAAATTGGAGAAATCAAGGGAGCGTTCCATGCAAAGCTGGCCATGATAAAGGACAAAAACGGTAGGGACCTAACAGAAGCAGAAGAGATTAGGAAAAGATGGCAAGAATACACAGAAGAACTATACAAGAAAGACCTCAATGTCCTTGACAAACACGACGGTATAATCACTGACCTTGAGCCAGACATCCTGGAATGTGAAGTTAAATGGGCCTTAGAAAGCATTACTAACAACAAAGCTAGTGGAGGTGATGGTATTCCAGCTGAGCTATTCAAAGTCTTAGAAGATGATGCTGTTAAAGTTCTGCACTCCATTTGCCAGCAAATTTGGAAAACGCAACAGTGGCCACAGGATTGGAAAAGATCAGTATACATTCCAATCCCAAAGAAGGGCAATGCCAAGGAATGTTCAAACTATCGCACAATTGCACTCATATCACACGCTAGCAAGGTCATGCTCAAGATCCTACAAGCTAGGCTTCAACAGTACGTGGATAGAGAACTACCAGAAGTACAAGCTGGGTTTCGAAGAGGTAGAGGAACGAGAGATCATATTGCCAACATTCGCTGGATTATGGAGAAAGCAAGAGAGTACCAGAAAAATATCTACTTCTGCTTCATTGACTATGCTAAAGCCTTTGACTGTGTGGATCACAACAAACTATGGCAGGTCCTTAAAGAGATGGGAGTACCAGACCACCTCACATGTCTCTTGAGAAACCTGTATAAGGGCCAAGAAGCGACAGTTAGAACCGGATACGGAACAACTGATTGGTTCAGCATAGGAAAAGGAGTACGACAAGGATGTATACTGTCACCTTGCTTATTTAATATATATGCAGAGTACATCATGCGAAATGCTGGCCTGGATGAATCACAAGCGGGAATTAAGATTGCTGGGGAAAAGATCAACAACCTCAGATATGCAGATGATACCACTCTAATGGCTGAAAGTGAAAAGGATCTAAAGAGCCTCTTGCTCAGAGTAAAAGAGGAGAGCGCAAAAGTGGGCTTGAAGCTCAACATCAAAAAAACTAAGATCATGGCATCCGGCCCCATCACTCCTTGGCAAATAGAAGGGGAAGTCGTGGAAGTAGTGACAGACTTCACGTTCCTGGGATCCCAGATCACCGCAGACTGTGACTGCAGCCATGAAATTAAAAGACGCCTGCTCCTTGGGAGGAAAGCGATGGCGAACCTAAACAGCATGATAAAAAGTAGAGACATCACCCTGCCAACAAAAGTCCGCATGGTCAAA